AAATAAACTAAGAAGATTATATCCTGGTTTTAACTTTGTCTTGTCTTTTTCACTTTTCTTGTTTATTTCTTTTGTTCACTTTATTTTTGTTTGTTTGTGTTTTATTTTTCTTTTGTTTTTCTTTTGTTTTCTTTTGTTTTCTTTTGTTTTATCTTTGTTTACTTTTGTTATTTTCAATTGTTGTCATATTGTCTTTTATCTTATCAATATACTTTCAAACTTGGATTAATAACATATATTTAATTTTAGTATTGTTTTATTATTTAAACACATTTAAAACATTCGTATTCTTGTTAATTTATTGTTAACCATTCACTTTCGTCATTTATATTTCTCTCTTATTTAAAATCTGCCATGAACACAGTTGCTGTTAACCATTTCTAAATATTCTCATACGTAAGAACTAGAAACGGTAGCAATATATATTGCAAAAAAAAGCACACAAAATTTAAGTAACTTTATTAAAAATGGAATTATTCAGAGAGTTATTAAAAATCAGAACTTTATAATAATAGTTAATAATAGATTGTAAAATTAATAATTTTATAATATAAATATAATAATATATTTATTTTTAATAATATATTAAATAATAAAAAAATTTTTTTATTAAATTATTTATTATTGATTATTTATATTTAAATATTATTTTTGATATATTAAATATTTTTTAATACTTTAAAACAAATTAAATATTAAAATTTTGGATTTTTTTATTCAAAATATAATAATTAAAACTATTAAAACTTTAAAACTTACAACATGAAATATATTTATAATATATATAAAATACATACAATATTTATATAAGTTTAATAATTTCAATAATATAATTTTTAGATTTGATAAATTTGAAATAGAAAATAAATATATATAAAACTTTTTTCTTTTCATATAGTTTTATAATATATAAATAAAAAAAAACTTGTTATTATTACATATAAAACTATTATTATAACTAAACTTGCTATTAATATATATAAAATCAAGACTTCATGGATAAGATTTTGATAATTAATTATGTTAATTATCTTTGGTGAATATCTTTATGCAGTTGCAGTTGCAATTGCTATTGCTAATAATAACGAATATAAAAGATCAGGATTCGGCATTATATTATCAAACTCAAAAATTTTGAAAAAAATACAATTTCAATAAATAAGATGTACACAGCAGTATAAATAAACGGATTGACATATTACAACTCCTTTTCTTTGAAATATTTGATGATGCTACGAGCTTTATTTAAGGAAATATTATGTATAGGGTGAGTAGGTCGCTATAAAAAAATGAGGATGGAGATGAAAAATGTTATCATTAAATCACGAATAAAAGTAATTTTATAAATATAATGCTTACCAAAAGATTTTCTGCCAATCCGACAACATTTTCTCCCAAAACTTCTTCAACCCACATTAACGACTCTTCTAAAGCTGATAATCTCTTGGTTGGTTCATCATTGTTATCATCATTCTCAACACCAGGATCATCATAGATTATGTGATGTTGTGAGGATGATAGGCCACTTAGACAGTAACATGTATGATAGAAGTCGGGATGCAAATATGGTTTGTCCATTAGTCCACCGCTGGGCGATTGGCATGATACTAAAATGTATTCTTGGAGTGACTCTATTGTCATTATTATATAAAAAGTTGCGATAATGAATTCAGTAAAACTCCTTTTAAGTTTCTATAATAAATGGATATTCAATATATTTACCTCGATCAAATAAAGGTTGAGCTATATAATAAAGCAGAAAAAGATAAATTCAGACAGTCAGCAAATAATTCATTTTCACATATAGTTATTATCATTTGACTTCTCATAAATTAAAAAAATACCAATAAATTTAGCAAGCTCTTCCTCGCCCGCTATATTCCTTCTTTCATATTGTTTCCTTGTCAATATGTCTTCAAGCAAGGGAAACAATCCACCGACCCAAAAAGAGTAGCAACCGTCCACCAATTTGTTGGGTCGCCCTTGAAATCCACCTTCGAGCGACATTTGTAGTGATACTGCCCATTTCTATATTAAAATTTTTCATACATATTATTATAAACTATCAATAATGATTATTGATACAAATAAATTATAACACTACCAATAATCGTGGAATATCAAGTAAATTAGTTTTTTTCATGATTTCCATTGCAGCTAGAGCACAGAATGCGTATCCTCCATGTGCCTCGATTCCTGGAACTCCTCCAATTCCACCATCAAAAGTTTGGCATCTATCAAAACATGAAATGAAGCAACATAAACCTCAGTTCTACTCATTTAAACCATACTATACGCGCAGTTAAACTTATAGAAGATCTTACTTTTTTATCCATTCGGCAGTTCCAGCAGTTAATTCAGGTGTCAGAATATTTGTCAGAACAGCGACAGATAATGCACAATATGCACCTCTAGTTACAAATAAAGATGTATTTTTTAACTTATATAGAAGAATCGAAAGTACGGAAATTCATAATTTCCTCACCGCACATCTACTTCTCCACCTTCGCTCATAATAAATGATCCGTCTGGCTGTTTTATCTTTAACAGCCATTTATAAAGATTTTCCCTTGATAAATTAAAATTTTTAATTAATGATAAGCATACATATATAAAGAAAAACAAAACTAACCTATCAATTATATCATAAGCTTCTTGGGTTCCGAGAACAGCTAAAGCGTTTACAGCGGCATAAGTGACTGCCACATGAGAAATTTGACCTGACCCGCCACCGAATCCACCAGTTGGATTCTGATATTTAGAGAGAGTCGAAATCCCTCTTTTGGAAATAAATATATGCGGAATAATGGAAAGACATATTTTATTTTAATCAACTATAGCAAATATTCAACGTAAATATATACCTGTCAATCAAATCTTCGGTTATAGGAGCCCCAAGTAAATCAAGCGAATGAAGGATCCAATAAGCAATCCAAGGTTTACTCGCGTCCAATGAGACGAAACCTTTACTGAGTTTTATAAGCCCGCGTCCTAAAAATTCGACGTGTTTCTCTCGTTCTAGTTTTATTCTGTGTGCATATATATAGATTATAAGATCGAACAAAGCAAATTTATAGAATTCGGATATACGTGAATCCAATCGAGAAAACGCGTAATTAAATGTTCAGGAATCAATCAAAGAACTGAGTATTATTAAACTTACTCGTCGATATTACCAGTTTCTTTCAATTTTTTGTATATTAGATAAATGTCACATTCAGTTTTCGACTACAATGTAATAAACAGATAAACAATTAATCGTATTCACATCCTCTTTGTTATTATCGAAATTGGGCGTCGCGTTTTTCCTGCATTTGAACCAGAAGTAGTAGATAATATTCATATATGCTTTTTGGATATAATAATACTTGATAAAGATATTTGTATTATTTATTCTACACTTTTTTTCGAATTCTGTCTTCCTCTTGTATTACCATTAGCTGGATATCTGTTTAGATATTTTTATATTACCTGAGCAATATACGAGTCAGTTGAGTGATTATCCGGGTTGGTAAGATGCTCTTCTAAACGACGCGTTCCATCAAGAATTCCCATATTTATTAATTAGTTTATCCTGTTGGAATTTTTAAGATGGAATTTAAATAAGAATATCGGTACAGGAAGGCATTTATAACGAGACCCCGAACAATATTAAACGAAAAACATTGACAATTATGAATTATCTAGCACGTGATCTCGTACACATAAATATTATTTGTCCCTACGCGTCTCGATTTATCGTTATTATAAATGTCTCGAACGGCAAAAATAACGCTAGCCACTTCGATAGCTGCATCAGTGACGATAGTATGGGGTGTACATTATTTACAAGTAAAAGAAAGAGAGGTGATACTATGTTTTTATGATAAAATATTAGATATTAGATATTAGAAATTCGATAGATTATTTTTAACATGTTGATAACATTTCATCCATAGTCAATGCATGCAAATATCGCACGAGAAGAAGCGGAACTATTACTACAACAACAAGCTAATATAAATAATAACAATAACAACCACAACAACAATAATATTGATGATAATAAGAAAGCCGAAAAATTCAAACAAAATATCCGTGAACTTGAACAACAAATTCAACTACAAAAAGAATATGAAAAGGTTCAACCTGTTGATCATTATGTTGGTCCTCGTAAATAGACGAAAATGTATTTATTGTAAAAGTTTTAATTACATAGTGATAGAAAGTAAATGATGAATTAGTGATGCCAAAAAGCATAAACCATTGTTCACAAAACAGTCGAATGATCTTCTATTTATTTACATTGACAGCAGCATTCCTGTTTGGCTAGACTATTTTCTTTTTATCATACTCGCTAAATTCCATAAATAAAAAATAAAATGGCCAAAATAGAAGAAATTCCGTCTGAACAAGAACAGCAATCAAAAGGTAAAAGTAACAAATTAAACAAAGCAAGATGGAATTTTAATTCCGAAATAATAGTAACCTCAATTGTAGTCCGTAATAAATATGATATTTTACTTATTGTCTCATAATTTTCTCTTTATTAAAAGACACGAAAAAAAATATCACATCGACAAAAGAACAAGAACATGAGATTACAAACACCAACAACAGAAATCCCACTGAATCCACGAATCCGAATAAAATTGAAACAAATGAAGAAGAACAAGAGCAAAGAAACAACAACGAAAATGAAACCACACCAAAATTCACCCCCCAAGAAATAAAAGATCTAATACAAGAAGCAAACACCATAAAATCACTCGGCAACGAATTATTCGCCAGTAATCGATACGAGGATGCGATTGAGCAGTATCAAAAGGCGTTGGACACGTGTCCCGTCGAGTGCAAAGAGGAACGTGCAGTTTTTTGGGGAAATATTGGAGCCTGTGAACTTAAACTGGTTGGTTTTTTTGACTTGACTGAATTAAAATTTAATGAATATTACTTCTTATATTTCGATGTCCACACAATTAAATTGATTTCATTTTTTGGTTTCAAAGGAGAAATATAGTCGAGCTGTGGATGCTTGTAATAAAGGTGTGCTGATATGAGAATTAATATGTTTGAATTAAATGTAGATCTGATCTATAATAATAATGGTGAATATAACGCAGCATTGGAAGATTCCCCGAACTACACCAAAGTACGCTTAAGACGCGCACAAATCAACGAAAAAATAGGATCGTATTCATCACTAGTTAGTGCACAAGAAGGTAAATATTAAATTGCTTGATAGTCTTCCCCATTTCTGTGATTAACCAAAAAATCGACTTTTTCCTTTTCCATACCAAAAAAAAATTAGATTACAATACAATACTAACAATCCACAAAAAAGAATTTGACCAACTTCCACACCCCACCCAGAAATCCATAAAATTTTCTCTCTCGCAACTCCCCCAAAAAATCGCACAAGCTCAAGAACGCGAAAAGGAAGAAATGATTAGCAAGTTTAAGGATTTGGGAAATACGTTGTTGGGTAAAATTGGATTGTCGACTGACAATTTCAATATGGTGAAGAATGAAGAGAGTGGCGGATACAGTATTCAGTTTAATAATACTAAGAGTGGTAGTAATGGTTGATTGATTGATTGTTTATTTTTGACGGGGCAATGTAAACTATTTTTTTTTTCCTTTTAAATCGTGTATTTTGTAATTTATTAATAATAAATAAATCAAAAAGCACACATTTATCTTGCATATATTACAACATCAAAAACACCATTCCCCGCAACAACATATAAATAAACAATTCACAGCTCCTTAAAATTATACTCATCGGATGGCCTTCTCAAACGATCATAATCACCTTCCGAGAACTCTGTATTCATCGCCTTGATATAATCAATTTCCAACGAGAAAGGACCGGTTTTTCGATCCAGTACCGAGAATCCAATAGTGTTGATGCGTTCGCGCATCATTAATATTTGTGGTGTTTGTATTACGCCGTGGTTTGTTAAGATAAAGTCTTCGAATGGGATCTTATATAATTTTTGGATAGTTTCATTCAATAGTAAGTGGATAAATACCAAAAAGATGAATACAATCACGAAAGATGTTACCATGACAATTTCCCATTCGCCAGGCCGTCTCAAAAACAATCGATGCTGCCATAAATCAGTAAGTATCGGTGTATCCGTTTGTAAATTTACGTAGTATTTGCGACGATCACCACGAAGTCGCATCGTCAGGTATCGAAATAGTGTGGTGTCCCATGCGGGAGTGCCAAGGAGTGTGAACTTACTTTTCTTTTTTTTTCAAATTATTTGATTAATATGTTGATATATAGAGGAAAAGAGTTCAGATTTAGATATAATTAAAATATCACTTTTGTTCGTATCCCCGCATACCCAAATTTTGGACGTTGTGATTTATGGATATTGTTGATATTCGTGCTGGGTGATGATGTTGGTGTTGTAATGTTTCCGTGGAATTTACCGTATCCTTCTGGTGTTAACTCGAATTTTACTTCCGAAGTTCCTTTTAAAAGCAATCGGTCATTTACACTCAAATATAGTAATCAGATGGGTTTACTGTTGATTATTATTTTATTCACCGCCAAAATCTTTATCAGATCCAATCACCCAATCGTTTATATCTTCTTGGGTGTTTGCAGTCAACATCATCATTTCTCTTTGCCAGTAGAATAGTGGGTTTTGCCCCATGACTGTTGTGAATTTATTTATTGATCGATTAAATTAATAAATTAATCTTTAGCATTAATTCATCAATTTAAAGAATTTAACCTTTTAACCCTTCATCTTTGATTGCTTCTATGGATCGTTTCATGAAATTTCGTAGTGCCATTTTTTTTGTTTTTGGGTTTGATCAATTAATGATTTTGTTAAAAAAAAAACTAATCTATTTCAGCCGATCCAAAAAATCACTTTCGAACGCGTTTAACCATCTTTTTCATCAGGTTATCTATGTTCACCGCTTTGTTTAGTTATAAAATAAAACAATGAGTACTCCACTACACGAAAAAACAGAAGAGAAAGAGAATTTAAAGTTGGATACAAAAGAAGCGGCAGCACGGTTTTGGCAAAAGTTTCAAGTGGAACGGGAAGGTTAGATTCATTTTAGCACTATTTTTGCGAGAATCTATTTTCTCGAAGTTTTCTATGCGAGAACAACATATATATATATATTTATTTAATACATAAAATTCAGCAATAACCAACGATATCGCATCACTTTCCAACACTACCACCACATCCATAATTGCCAAACAATGTGACAACATTCTCGAACGTATTAATAATCTCGAGAAAAAGTTGACGGAGGCTACAATTTACTTGCCGTCGTATGACCAACGACAATTGAGTTCGGTAAGGAAATCTAAAGATGAAATTATCAGTTCTAAACGATGACGATGACTATTCCGGAATATTATTCAATTAATTTATTCTCTTATAATAATAGCAAATAAAATCAATGATCGATGAATTAAATAAGCAGCGTGCACGATTAGCCCCAAAACAAAAATTCTCTTTCAAATCACGAAAAGTAGCGACTTCCATTCCTAACGATGAATCAAAAAAACAACTAAAAACTACGGAATCTGAATCAAAAAGCACCGCCACCACAACTAATACAACAACAACAACCACATCATCATCATCTTTAGACAGTCGCGATGATCCAAATCTACAAATAATTACACTACATAATCGACAAAAGGCATTTTTAACTGTGAATTCATATTTATCTTCATCAGTTTCCTCAAGGAGAATTGATTTTCAACTCACCGATCTAACAAATTGTGTGGTGAATTTAGTGAGTAAAAAAATCTCTATTGGTGCCATACATATTAGAGGGTTGAAGAATAGTGTGATGCTTGTGGGTCCGGTTGGAAGCTCCGTTTTGATTCACGATTGTGAGCGATGTGTGTTTGTTGTCGGTTGTCATCAGGTAACTAATTATAAAGAATATTAGATTTATTGGATTTGAATATCATTTTTGAATTATTATTATTATTTTATTTTTTTGATCAAGTTTCGAATGCATACATCGAAAAAAATGACTATTTACCTACATGTAACTAGTCATCCTATTATCGAAGATTGTCATGACATTCAATTCGCACCATATACACTTTCAATTGATGGATTAGATAAGATGTTTGAAGTGAGTTATTCATAATTTACTATATATTTCCGATTAATCTACTTAATAATAACAATCAACAAATAAAGGCAGTAAAATTAGAGTCAAACATAAATCACTACGATAAAGTAGAAGACTTTAATTGGCTCCGCCAACAAGCATCACCTAATTGGAAATTATTACCCGAGGAAAAAATCCTTAAAGATTGGCCTAACACGCTGCTGGTTTCTGTAGATGGCGACGAAAAGTCATCGGACAACAATGGCAATAATGATGATAATTTGTCTGAGGGTATGGTCAATCATTTACTGAAGGAAATTTTAGAGTAACTCTTTGCATTTTTATTTGTAATGTATTTTTAGAGGTAGATTATATTTAAGTAGATCTTTGTGTCATGCACAAAAACACATTTTTATAATTCTAATCTAATTTTGATGCACGTACAAACGTGAACGTTGCACACTATCTTCTATACGTCTCGCATACAACCATCCATGATCTTTATCATCACTCTTTTTCCCATCGACATTTACCGGCGCCTCAAGAAAATGCTTAATAGCCAACACCATCTGTTTAGCACATCCTTCTACCGGAAAAGCACCGACACCAGACCCAAATCCCGCACAGATAACATTATTAATCCTATCTTCCGGTCGACGCAGCGTCGCATTATGCTTACGAATACAAGTCAAAATCGCCCAAGTACATCGATACACAATATCATCATCGCCATATAATTTTTTCGGTGTCCGCATCGTAGGACAATGGGCGATATACCGTGGAACATTTTTTCGATCCTTGACTTTTTGTGCTAATTCGTCCACATCCACCAGTAGACAGGTTCCTACGTTCTGTTCGCCACACCAATCTTCTTGTACTGCTGATTGTACGACCGGAATCAACGAGTTCACGCCGCCGTAGTATTCTGAAATGAAGTAGTCAAGTCCGCCGTCCATTAGTCCGAAACTGTTGGCCGGTGATACTAGACATTCGGCCGGTTTTTTTTCTAGGTATTTTTGGAAGGTGGTGTGATGGATTTCTACTTTTAGTGAATTTTGCGGAAGATCAATTGTTGCGAGTTCTTTTTCCCATGCTTGCACGAGTGACTTTTTTTGTAGATAGACGTCAGAATGATTATTTGTTAGTTTTCAGCATTTTTGAATTGATCCAACTTACTTGCATGATATCAAGAAGCGATAATGTAAAATGATGTGGTGGTAATTGTTTCGTAGATTCTTGGTGAATAATATCGCTTTCATCTTTCTTACTGTTAGTGGTGTCCATTGATGATATCAATAATTTGTTTATTTTGAAGAAATTCGGGGGTTGTGGATATTGTTGCAATTTAAATTTTGAATAGAGAATTTTGTGAATATCGTAATTTAAATTTTTGAAAAGAAAGGCGGACTTGAATTTCATTCCGTTTTTTTTACTAATTTGAGTTGCATATTACATATATACATCGAACAAGTGATTTTTTGATGACCTTATTAATCGTGATTGAACGAAGTGATGCAACCAAAAAATTGACACATGATTATCATTTTGGTGTGCAGAAAATATTTTGATCGGAAAAGTATTATCTTCCTACCCAGAGCTTGACATCATCTTTTTTCAATCAAAATATTTTCTGTGCACTAAATTTGCTGGAAAGTTTTCTTCATCAGTTTTTTTAGTAAAGAAATCAGAAATTTTTTATTCATTGAAAATATGCATAAAATCGATGTGCCCGTTAAATCCAGTTGTTTTTCTCAACTCAGTACATCTCCCACTGCAGCAATAGAATTGGGGAACTAGGTTTCTTTGACAGTTAAATCAAATCCTTGTGTAGATTTTGCCAATTCTTTTTTTGACGTTATTCTATTCGAACTTGCGCGAGGAGCCAGTAGATCCTAAATTGAAAATATTAAGGCTCAATTAATCTATTCCTATAAACTGCCCTCTATTAAATTTCTCATGTCCAAGTTTCATAGCACTATCAGTATTTTCCAATACAACAAAAGTTAATCTTTCCGTCACAAATATATTTTATTTTATGCTTGGAAAATATCAACGCAGCTTAATTTCTCAGTAACCTAAATAAACGTCTAGATTGTTAAATATGAATAATTTAAACGAAATTTTTAGTTATCTAAATTTGGAAAAATTAATTTGTCTTCTCAATCCATATATATATATATCGAACTTTACTAGCGCTAGAAGTTGGTTTTTTAAATACTGGTTTGGCTTTACTTGATTCAATTTTAAATTCTGCGAGCCAAAAAAATCTCCGATTACCGATTTTTTTCTTTAAGCCAACAAAGATGGATGCATTACATATTGTTGTCGTAATTTGTACATAATAAAATCAGTCGGCTGTGTTCAAAAGTCTTATCTACAAGCCACCCTTTTTCGCACTTTTTTTCAACAATTTATAATTTATATTGTTGACAAGTATTACTTTTTAGAGTTTCCTTACCACACGCGTAACCGGAAAACTTAGAAATTGAAAAGTCGCGTGGCAAATTCAAGATCCTAAAACAGTTCCCTATTACAAAATTACAGTAGAATATACAATAAAAGTCTCAATTGACTTTTACATCAAAATAATCTGAAACAAACGACGAAAAAAAATGTCGATAGAGAAACTATCTAGTGACATTCTACAGGAAATATTTAGTCAATTTGATAAAGACCCAAGCAAGACTCGTAAACATGTGGTGAGAGAACGCCGAGATTTGCACTCGTGTGCGTTGGTAAACCGTCAGTGGTGTGAGGTTGCTATTCCACTTCTATGGCGTAGAACTTTTTTTCAACTACGGGAAAGTTATAGTCCGATACCACCCAATCCAAAACTTATCGATGCATATTTTTATTGTTTGAATGATACGGAGCGGATGAATTTATTATCTCATGATTTTATCCTTCCCGATCCCGATCATGACGATAATAATAATAATAATAATAATAATAATAATGCTAATGAAGAGAGCAACAGCAACAACTTCAGTAATGATGATAACACTAATACTAATAATAAACTACGCTTCAATTATCCATCATATTTGCGCCATTTGGATTTCTCATTGATGTTACATTCAGTGGAGGAGTGGTGTCTACGTAGAGTTCAACGAAGATCACGATACGAATATCCGAGTTCAGAAGATTCAAGCGACGACAATTTACTTGACTATGACGATGACAATTCAGGATTCTACAACAATAAACTTGTAAACGTGCATAATGAGCAACAATTCACCAAACTTTCGTTGAAGAAACGAATTAAGTTGTTGACTCCGGCAGTGACGCGTATACTACTACGTATATTTATGCGCAATTCGACGGTTATTAATACTCTGCATTGTTGTGGGGAACGCGTTGAACACGATGAAGATTACTTGATAATTGCAGAACCTGAATTCGCGGAATTTTTCTCTAGCGTCAGAAAGGTAATTTTGGATTCTCCGTTTTACTTGGATAGAGTTCTTCTTTGCTTGTCGATAGCGTGCAAAGATTTGGTGAGTTTTTTTCCTTCCAGATGTGTGTATGGGTGGATGTGTAGAACGTGTATATTCAGAATATTCTTTCATTTTCCACCGTGTTTTTTTCATATAATTTGAGATAAATATATTTACTTACCGCCGTATTATTAATGTTCTAATGACAACAGGAAGACATAGATTTTTCCTTTTTCCACCGGAGAGGTCGCAACAAACCAATAGCCCCAACGAGCTGGTATCTCTCCAGCTATGAGGTGAAAAACATCACCACACTAATAGAATCCCAAAAAAACCTTAAAAATCTAATAATTAGATACTGTGAAATAACCGATCTTGTAAACCATGTAATGCCCTCGTTCAAATCTCAAGCAAACACATTACGTCGACTTATTCTTCATAATGTGCTTGAGCGATTACATGTATTTTATTATAGGGAATTTATGTTGGCAAAGCAAAAAATAATTCAGCCTATAAAGTTCTGGTATAATAATAGAAAAATAATGCCTTGTTCCGATGTTGTGCCGTGGTTGGAAGTGTCGTTTCCTGAACTGGACCAGTTTCAGTTTATTCAACATGCTGATTTTAGAGAACAGTGGCATCAATGGAGTTTTGAGAGTTTGGAGAAGGATGAACGTGAAGACAGTGAGAGCGAAGAAAGCGAGAGTGAAGAAAGTGAGAGTGAGAGCAATGAAAACGAGAGTAGTGCGAGTGAAAGTAATGAAATGGTAAGCCTTTTTTTAAAACAAAAAAAAAAGATTCGACGATGATTGATGAATAAAATTTTATCTTTCTCACCTAATGAATTTCTTCAATAGACAACGACACGAACCTCCCGGTATTAAGGTGAACGACGAAGGATAACGAACATGGCGGATTAATGAAAAATTTTCCTGACTGGGCGCTTTCTATATAATTAATAGCTTTTTCTCTTGTGCATTCTCTATCGATGATTCACTCATCAATATTTTATAGTTGTCGCCTTACCACTATATATCATTCAATATATATATTGAACATTTTCTATCCAATTATTTTTATCCACATATATCTTTGCACACACAAGAACGCTTTCTTATATACACCCCATTTTGCAAGGTTTCCCAGAGACAAGAAGATATTATCGACTTGCCGAAAAAAATTTTCGATATTTTCTTTATTTTTTATGTTGACCCTTGTTTTCTAATATAATTGTGTATACATCGATATTCCTTTTTCCTATCCTTGTGGTGGGAAGAAGTGGCGGTGGCAAAAAATAATAGCAATAAGGAAGGACATTTATCTATTATTTTACATGTCTATTCTATCATTTGATGAGTTATCGAGTAGAAGAGTGGTAGAGGAAGTGCGATAAGTAAAAAAGATTAATGATGAGGATTTGCAAGTACAGGGATAGAAACAGCAAAAGAATTGATGATACGTACTTATGTAGTAGTAATGTATATATATATGTATCATACGCTTATTACGTCTCTCTGTCTTTGTCTTACTTTTCTTAATAATTTAATAATAAAAATTTACTTTTATATTTTATAAAAATAATACGAAGTCGCAAATTTGTCGTTCGTCCGAACTATCATCAATACCATTATCATCGTTATCTTCGTCCCCTTTGTTGTTGTCTTCATCTTTTGAATACAGCGACGGAATTCCCCGTACACGGAAGATAACGTGATAACGACGACGGTGATACTAACAATGAAAAGAATCCCTTTTCCTCATAATTAAAGTCTCATGATACCGATGTTATTATCATTTTAATTTAATACGTGAAAAGAATAACGAACGATAAGACGATATTATAAATAAAGAAAAAACCAGAAGAAAATTGTAAACAAATGAGGAACGAGGAATGAGGAGAGAGAAATGATGAGACTTGTTGCTTCCAAAGTTAAAAAAGACTGTTCAGTTGTTATACAGAAAAAACTGAATTACGCAAATAATATAATGAACCACCAACCACAACAAAGTTAGAATTAATTTAATAGAGTTCTGACCACAATTATGTTTGATAGATGGCAAATAAAAATTCACGAGGTAATGCAGATTGTTCGAATCATATTATTGTTAGATTCTTTATTTGAATTTAAACTAAACTGCTATAAAAAAATATCGGTTAGTGTTAAATACTGTAAAAAGGCAATGATAACAATAATAATAATAATAATAATAATTAATAATAATAATAATAATAACAATAATAATAGTAAGGCAACGTAATAATAACAATAACCCTAACATAACCAAAAAAGAATTACAATCCCAATATTTCTTTGAATATCAAAGAATTATTCAGGTCCGTAACAGAACAAAGTGATCTCTCTAAACCACCGCTCAAATTAAGCAAAATCATGAATTTGGCAAGATCCTCAATCAGGTACCTGTATTTTGTATTATTGCTAGCCATGAATACCCTCCGGAACGCGTGGAGACCTAGCCAACTAACTTGTCTTTCCCAAGCTGATGCAAAAAGATTCTCCAGAGTGATAAGTTGATTCATGTGCAAGAACGCATCACGAATCAATTTTGCTAAAAATTCCTGGGACATTTTAACTCTCTTCGACGCCAACTCCTCTACATACTCGCGAAATCGCAGAGCAGCCATTAAAAAAATTTGGTACAAGTTTAGACGCGCTGTGTAAACCGAATTCAACTTGACACTCACGAAAACCTCATAGCAATTTTGCCTTAACCAGCTTTTTTTTTAACGGAAAAATTCAGAGTGATTAGAAATTGTTTTTTAAATCGAAAAAAGCAAAAAATCATGGCTACATACTTTGTTAGTCTTTGCCTCAAAATCAATACCTGATTTTGTGAAAATTCTATTGTTATTTGATCACGAAGGGCTGAATGCAAGTAACTCGAATAGTCACATTTTACATTCAATGTTTTCGAATGTATCAATAGTCCGCACCAGGGAATCTCCACTTGACTTTTATTGACTTGGTCGTAGTCAAAATTTGCCAGGGTCTTTTCTTTGTTGATAAAGCATCCATACTCCGGATGTCCTTCAAATAAAAATTACGCTATATAGAGATTTTAATAAATAAAATAGAAATAAATAAGATGAATTTTATAAAACTCACCTTTACACATCACGTCTAAAAACTGAACTGCTTTATTTTTTTTCGTAGTAATATAAAGGAAATCATCCACCCATCTCAAAAGCAACTAGTTATATTAAGTAAATTTATATTTAAAACCGTAGTCATGCTTATTATTGACACTTCTATTAAGAATTACATGAATAAAATTACCCCATCATTTCCACTAAAAAAACTCATTTTCCTTTCTTCAAGGTCATCGAAAAAGAAGTTACATAAAAGAGTGGAAATGAGCGATCCTTGAGGTATTCCCTCATGCTGATGATACATATCCCCCCCCTAAAATCAACAAGGGTAAAAAAAATAGTTAATCACCCGAAATTTACCCGAAATTCAACTAAACAAGTTAAAATATCAGAAATTATCGGCATTAAACTAAAAATTATGCTTACCCTTATCATATTCTGCTTTACATGATTTTCAAGAAATTGTAATACCTCTAGACGTTCTTTGGATTGATAAGTAACACCATCCAGGAACACTGCATTTCTCGAAGATTCAGCCAAAGTACTTGCAATATCAGGAAACTGAGGAATCTCCTCTAATAATAGCAAAATTGAATTTTATATTAAAACAAAAAATTTGTTACACTCGCAATTACCAGCTGGATACGCTTTTTTCTCGAATTTTGTGAGACGCTTTTCAGAAACTGTAATATATTTGGTATATTTGATCAGCTTATAATTTTCCTAAATGATTCAATAGCACGATATTAATTTCTTGTTTAGAATACAAAATTAATATATGAAATACATACGCTTTTAAGTATTCTGGACAAGATATTCAAAAGTAGATCCTGGTTGATTGAATCAAAACAGCATTTTATGTCTACTTTTGCAAGGTACAGTCTTGGCCTATATTATAAAACAAAACTGCAAATTTCGGTACCTAACAAAAATTATAAATCAATCAATATAAAAATTACTAAAAATAATTTTATTTACTTATGCATTGTAAAAGTGCTCTTGAAACTCAACAATTTATGATAAATATCCTTGTAATTATCAACAAATCCGCCAGAATTCCTGATATGCCTCTCCTAAAGAACATGCAAAATTAATTAGATAAATACTTGACAAAATATCCAAAATTAAAATTAAAACCTTCTCCATATTCAAAATTGTGAATGCATTTTTTCGGAGAACATCAATTGAAGTGGGTTTTTGTTGTTTAGACATGTTTTGAGTAGTTGAAAAGGTGATTTGTTCTTTAGGTGTTAAAAGTTTTTGAATTAATACGATGTAGAGGTTAAAGTAACTTCAAATGGTCACATATTATTATTCGCGTAAAACACGTTCGATCATTCGATCAGCAAAATCAGACGATCTCTCATATTGTGCTTCAACCGCAAAAAATCAACTTCGCAAAGACATGTTTGGGAAGCATTTACTAATTTAGCTTGAACAAATTAAAAAGAACCAAGATTAATTGTTATTTAAATGAGTGATGAATAATCCCAACTTATAAATTACATGTTATACAATATTACTGGTTTTATTGTTGTCATTAATTTAATTAAATATAAGCATTATTAGTGAGTGCTGTTAGTATTAACACAAGTATTAATGTCATTATTGTCATTAACACAAGTATTGCTAGTGTTATCAGTATTAAAACAAGTATTAATGTCATTAACATGAATTTAAGAATCAATAATATCTAAAATATAAAATAATAACTAATTAAAAATAGCTATCCAATAAAAATATTAATAATTATAGTCCAATAAGATATAAAATTTTCATTATCTAATAAATTGTTCATCAAATATCATATCAAAAAACAGTTTCAATAAAATTTCATATTTTAGTATTTAATTTTGTTTTATCATTAATACCAAATGATTGCATGATTTATATTTATATAGCTCTTGATAAGTAGAAATACTATTTTTTTTTACTTTGTCAAACTTCAAGTAATAAATGAAAATCAGTAATATTTGTTTGTTTTTTTAGGTTATATTACTAAGAATAAGTCTTTCTATATATTGTTATATATATAATTTGCTTCACAAAATCAAACTTTATATATTAAATGAAAATGTTAAATAATATTCTGATTATTGATTGAAAATAAGTTTTTTATATTTTGTTAATTAATTATATAATTTACAATTTTTTAATAATTTTTTTAGAGAATCTAGCAAGAAAAAGAATAAAGAATTTGAAAATTTTGATATTTCTAGATTTACTTCTTTTTTTAAAGAAGTTAAATCAGATTATCAAAATTTTGATCAAATATTATAAACTATATTAAATAAATTTAAAGATCATTATAAAGTAACAAAGCTAAATTCTATTTTCTGATTAATTTCTTTTCTTTATAATTTTAATTATGATTTAAATTTAATAACTCATATAAAAAGGGATACAAAAATACAAATTCAAATATAATTAATTAAAAAATAAAAAAAGAAGATTTTAAGTAAGATTACCTATTTTTAATAATAAAAAAAAGAGAATTTGAATTTTATAATTATTTAGCTTAAAAAAAAGAAAATAGACAAAAAAGAATATAATTTGAATAAGAATATATTAAAAAATTGACCAAATTAAATATAATAGTATTATAAATAAAATTATAGTATTTATAATATATTATTTGCTTTTATTTCACTTTTTGATATTTTTTATTTTTAATAAAAATTAAATTTTATTTACACATTTTAATTCAATATAAATAAATTTAAATTTTATAATACAGATATTTTTATATTTATTGCTTATCTACAAAAATATAATATATTTTAATACAAAAATGAAAAAAATTACAAAAACTGAATAATAATAAACAAAAAATTTATTTATTTATTTTATTTTAATTTTTTAATTATTTGTTATAGTATAATTAAGTTAATTAATAATTATAGTTAACTATATTACATAATCTAGTAATATATTTGATACAATCTAATATATATTTTAGAAATGTATTTTAATAATTATTTTATTTTAGAATTTAATTAATAAATTTATAAATAATAATTTATTTATAAATATGATATATATTTTAATATTAAAAATAAATTAAGTTAATTATTTTTTTATTTTTTTAATTATTTATTAACTAGTATAATTTTTGTTTTAATTATAAAGTTATAATTATTATTTGATTTTTTATTTTAATTGCAAAGTTATAATTATTTAAATTAATAAAATAAAATTATTAATACTTTTACTTATTTATAAATTATTTTTAAAGTTATTAATATATTTATCTTTGTTAAAAAAAGATTTTTAAACTTACTTTAAAATAACTTTAGAATGAATTATATATTTTAATATAATTCAGAGTGCTTCATTAACAATTCTAGTTATCATTCTTAAAAAGGCAGAATTGAATAATTTTTTATTATATTTATATATAAATGAAAAAGCAAATAAAATAATTATAAAAAAATATAATTATAAATATATATAATTATAGAGAGATTTAATCATATTCAAAATTAAATTTTTATTAATTAAATTTATATAAATCACTTAATTTTTCTAAAATAACAATGATAAGATTTTTTTAGAAATTTTTTATATTAAAATTTATTATAAAAGTTTTTAATTTTACTAATTAATATTTTTTATTTTTATATAAAAATACAAATAATAATATAAATTTAATTGGAGAAAGTTTTTTTAATTATAAATTAAGTTGATTAATTTTTTATAATTAAAATATAAAGTAAAAAAAGATATTTTGACAAAGTTAAAATTGTAATCAGAAAAATTTTTTACAAATAATACAAATATTAGTATATATTTTTATATAATTCCAATAGTTGAATATTAAAAAATTATCTTGAAAATTATTATATATTAGATCTTTAATTCATATATTAGATCTTTATCAATTATATTAAATTTTGACATATAATAATTTTCAAGGATGATATCTTAATATTTTATAATTAAATTATATAAAAATATTACTATTTGATTTATCTAGATATAAAAAATTAAATAATAATATTTTTACATGATTTTAATTATAGAATATTAAGATTATACATATTTTTATATTTTCATATTTGGTAATTTTAATATTAATATAGCATCTTATTAATACAGTCATCCAATTAATTACTAATTAATACTTAATAATTTGTTTAACCAATTACTGTATAATTAATTCTATTACATATATTATTTTTAGATTAATAAAAATTTGATATATAAAAATTTTTAATGTGATATTTCAATAATTAATGATTAAAATATTATTATTTAATTTATCTAAATATGATAAATTAAATGATAATATTTTTATATAATTCTAATTGCTAATTATTAATATATTATTACTTTATTATAATAATCTTTTTTATTATAATATTTTCTTTTACTTTATATATATTTATAGATTATATTATTATTATTTTTTGTTATTATTTTATATAGTTTTATATTTTTCAAGTATATAATATAAAAAATATATAATTAAAATTATAAATAAAAGAATTAATATTATGTTTAAAGATAAATAATATATATTTATATTGTAAACAGCTAAAATAAGCTATATATTTTAATATAATTCAGAGTGCTCTATTATAACTTTAATGATAATTATAGAAAGATTTGATTGTATTTTTTCTCAAGATAAAAATCATTAATAAAAATGTTCTTTATAAAACTACAATTTTTTAGCTAAATTAAAGTGTTAATAATTGAAATATAAGTTTCTGAAAGAATTAATAACTTAGTTCAATTATTTTTTTATACATTGAATTCAGATATTTATATTTCAATTATTAATGCTGAAAATTGGTATATAGATAATTTTTATAAAAAACATCAAAATTTTACTAATTAAAAAATCTTGTGTAAATCACTAAAATGACAATAATATTTTTTTTAGAAATTTTCTCATGATTCCATAATCTGTTAGCCATTGTATATGCATTATTGTTAAAATCAAATTAAAATCAAATTTAAAACAAAAACTTTATTCTGATATATATAGTCGGTGGTTTATTACATAAAATATCGAAGGTATTAATTTCCTGGTTCTATGATTTAAGTGATGCAATATATCCGATTATGATAATTTAATATTTGTTTTAAAATTACAATAAAATAAAAATAGCCAAAGTTTGCATAGGAAATAAAAAGAAATTTATTTTTTGTTAAATCCAAATTTGAATGCAGATTGTTTTGTGTTCTGCTTTTATAAAATCAAATTAGTATATAAAAATGATTTATAAAATTATTAGTAAATAAAACATACCGAAGTCTTAGAATCGCCAGTTTCTTGAACTTTTTGTTGTTTAACAGAAGATGAACTCGCTCTCGAGGAGTTTAAAAATGAGAATGATGTAGTCGAAGAAGAAGATGATGATATCGGTGTAAATTTTTCGGTGGATTTTTTTTCTGCAGCATTTTTATTTTCCACTTGGGCAATCTCTGAAGTTGGTACAGACAACCATCCGCCCGAACTTTGTGTACTACCCTTTCCACTAATCGAGGTCGAAGCATATCCTTTACTTTTATTAAAGGTTATGGATTTTGACAATAATTCTAACTTCCGGCCGCCATTTCCAATAACCGAGTTGAAAGGAATACTCGAACTGTTTCCATCGGTTATTCGTGAAGAAGCTAAGCTATTATTGATTCCTCCAATACCGGTGGTGGAGTCATTTGTTGATGATGCGCTCGTGGTCCAGCCACCACCGCCTTTTGAAAAACCTGAACCTTTTTCATCATTCTTGACTTTCGGAACAAAAGCAGATGAAACAGTTGTCCAGCTTGCAGTGTTAAACGAAGAGCTCCATCCGCCACCATCGTCAGCAGAAGATTTTCCAATATGTTCACTTGACACTTTCGTAGTAAAATCGACTTTGGAGCTTGTCGTCTCTATGGTTTTTGATCCACTACTACTTGCTGCTTGTTTGTTTCCTGCCTTTTGTAGAGCTGCTTGTTGAATTCTGGCAAGTTCTTTTTCCTCTCGCTTTCGTTCTTTTTCACGTTTCTTATCCATTCTACTGGAACGACTTAGATCTTTCATATCTTTGAAACGCTGTATCATGTAAGTGTATTTGGTTAAACAATTGTGTTTTTTGAGAGCAATTTTGACTAATGGTTTGTTAAAAATCTACCTTTCGATGATTATGATCGTATGAGCTTAAGTGTGTCTCATATTCAGATATTTTCGTGTATTGTTTATCGCATAAAGAGCAATAGAATGCTGAATTGATAGTTTCTAACTCTTTTTTAATCGATTCCTGCTTCATGACTTTGTTCTATTAGATGATGATGATAATAATGATAATAAAGAAAACTCAGATTGTGCTTCATTATGATTAAAATAATATTCAATCCGAAAAAAAATAATGGTAAACCTCTCGCTTCATACGTTCCACCTCGGTTTCCTCGGCAATCTTCTCGCTATCTAAAGCTTTGCGTTTGGCAGTAGTAGTCACATGGTAATAATCTTCTTCTTCTTGCTTGCCAACACCCAAACTATCAGATTTCGTTTCTATCTTTATCGGATCTCTCCGACCTTTATGAAATATATGTGAAAGTTCGATGAGGACTGATGAACGAAAAATGTTCTTGCATTGTTTTATTCTCAGCATGCAAACTAACCTTGCTGAGACTTTCCCAGTCCCTGACCAGCCTGCCACCCCATCTTCATAAGAAGTTTATATCCTATATTGCTCGATGGAAGATGTTGATCCATGCTCGCCACATCCGTATTCGAAAAATCAAGATACGCTTGTGGGACATGACCCCGCGGAAGATTAAAAGTTCTATCCTGCTCGTCTTCCAACAAGTCGTCGCCATTATCGAACGAAGGGCTCTCTTCTAAAGAAGGGTGTTGGTAGTGGAGGTGGTGACCTTTATTCTCCTGAGACATTATTCAACAACCAACAAGGCAGATAGATAGGCAGATGGCAATAGAATAGAATAGTAAAATAAAAAGGAAAAAAAGAGAGGCTTGATGGTAATGTGATTGTCACTCTTCATAATATGAATGGATCACTCTGTACCCCACACATTTTGCCACAGTCACCCTTAAGTTTTTTAGTAAGGTTACTACAGTAAGAACACCACAACAAAATGTTCCTCTCTCACAGCCTCTCTTTTACGTTTTGGCTAACCTGAGAAGTTAACAAATTGACCTCGGAAGATCCTGTTGGGTTTGCAGGATTATACATTGTGAGGTCAGTCACTTATTTATTTGATGATTTCGTTTTTAATAATGATAATGATAATGATAAAGATAAAACATTCTCGGTATCGACATCACTGTCTTGGCATACATCAATCGATTTTTTAATTAGCATTTTTCGGGTCATATGACTCGAAATTCATGATTAGTAAGCGGGTAGTACGTATTGAATCGTAAATGGTAAAAGTTATAGTTAAGTTCGTGAATTTATAAATAAATCAAGATATCCCCCGAAAATTAGACCCTTCCCGAAATAAATTAGTATTAATAAACACTTTCACAGTTATCGTTATATGTAAAATTTCCTCCCCGACATTTTTAATTAGTGTTCCAAGCTAGAGATTTAGGGAGTGCCCTTATTTTTCAGTGTGATACAAGCGCGAAACGCATTCTTATTGGTTGCTGTATCATGATCGATAAAACCTAGCACAGAGTTCTGACGTATAATTTGGAATACACATTAACTTAAAAAGCGCATTGAACATGGCTCACAATTGTAGTGAATGTCGGTATAGTAAAATGGATTACTGCAGAAAGTGTTCAGTTCACAATACTCACGAATGTAGTAAATGTACTCGGTGCCAAAACAATGAGGACTGCGATAAGTGTTCGGGCAATACTCATGAATGTAGTAAATGCTGGCATTGTTGAGTACAGAATTACTGCAATGAATGTCCAGATCACAACACTCATTATTGTGATCAATATTACGATTGTTAAAAAAATGAGTACTGCGGGAAATGTTTTGATTATAGCTAAATCATCTAGCGGAAATAAAGATATCGACTATCTAGTAAAAGAATATAGAGAATTAGAAGGTCTTTTGAATGGATTCCTTTTGAAAGGTTTACCAATATTAAATATATTGCAAAAGGTGGTTTTGGAACAGTTTATAAAGCATCGTGTAATATGTGGGACCATAAACTAAACCAATTTAAATTAGGTAATGGGCATAGAGTAGTTGTGTTGAAATCATTACACAATTCAGAACAAATTACATCCGAGTTCATAAACGAGGTATATAAAAATAAGCAATTTCTAAAATGTAAACAAATTGCTTTTTTTCTAATACGATCAAATTTTTCAAAAAATAGATTCGAACTACTCTAAAGTGCAGAACAGGCTCCTTCGGGTCTTATGGAATAACTAAAAATTCAGCTACAAACGAATACTCGATGATAATGGCTTATGCAAAAATGGCGATTTACGCAAATATATTGGTTCTAACTACAAGGAATGAATTGGGCTCAAAAATTAAAATATTTATATTATATTAGCTCTGATCTGATCTGAAAAAGATTCACAGAGAGAAACTTGTGCATCGTGACTTTCACCCTGGAAATATATTAATAAATCATATTCCTCAAATTGCTGATTTTGGATTTACTGGACCGGCCAACTTAAATAAATCTGATCAAGAAATATTTGGAATAGTTCCTTATATGAGTCCAGAGGTGCTAAATGGAAAGTCATACACACAAGCAGCAGATATTTACAGGTTTGGGATAATTATGTACGAAGTTGCAACAGGCGAACGACCATTTGGTGAGCAAAGTCATGACATATATCTTATATACCAAATGATATTCCCGGATGGTGCAAATTTATTATTGGAGTCATTCCAGAAAATAGACCAACTGCTGAAGAACTTGAAAACTTTATCAGATCTATCTACTTTCAAACAAACTGTACTATAGCTCTTTAGAATATCCTAAGACAGACAAAGAAATCACTGAGTGTCTTAAATCAGAAAAGCAGGAATCAAAAGAACTTGATGAGAGAATAAAATCGCAAAAAAGCATTTATATGAATATAGACAAAAACAACAAACCCACGCAAATGTAGTTTACACCAGTCGAATTTTACTAAAAAATTAATTTCAATTCCAAATGATACTGGTACTTTTATTTTATCGTTATAATCGACATTTCATATTGATATTAATTAAAATTTATTTTGAATATTAAGATTCTACAAGTGTATTCCAAATGATACTAACAAAGGTAAAAATTGTCTTTTTATAATTTTATTAACTCAATATATTAAAAATAATTTATTTGCATACAATTCTAGAATATGTGATTACTGAATTTGATATAGAAATTTGATGAAGGTAAGTTATAATATTGTTTTTTTCTTGCAAATATCGAGTATTTTACAAGAAAACCATAAGCTCATAATGAAACACTACTAATATTATCTTTTTTAATCTATTAGAAATCATAATTACAAAGATAATATTAACTACAAATTATTCTTATAATTTCTTATATTTCATAAGTTAAGCATTTATCTTTAAAAAGATTTTTGATTTATCAAATACAAATATATATATATTATTCATCTTTGATAATAATATTTTAAAATATTTTGAAATTTAATTAAAATTCAATTGAACTCAAAAACTTTTATATTATCTATTAAGAAATAAATCAAATACAACTAAAATATTTTTTACAAATTTGAATTTTATTTATAATTAAATACAAATTGGTACAAGATATATTATATTAATAGTCAATCAATATAACACATAAAAAGTGGTTATGTGTAAAGTTGTAGCCTTTGTTTTTGGCTACAATTTGATATATTTAGATGTATGAAATTTTCAGTTTTTTTTTTGGTTTCCAAATCGGTTCTTATTGAGGAGAAAATAGGTTAAAAGGAACTGTGAGACTGAAATGGTGTTTCCCTAAAATGAACATTTGGAAGATAGGTTAACGCTATTAGCGTTAGACCTTTTTATTAAATTTAAATGCAATGATGATAGCACAACATATATAGTGCTCTAACGCTAAATACACCAACATAATTTAAAGTTCGCCTTTTACTCTGTTATTTTTGCCTTTGAAATGGCTCGTAAGTAAATTTTTATTCGATTACCCATCATTTCACACCTTTGCCTGTTTGTTTCGTTTTTTTCTGGCATTTGGGTTACTTTACTTACCGAATTCTTTCTTGTATAGGTGGCAATCAAAGAGAAAAAGCACGCGAAAAAAACCAAAAGAAAAACGCTAAACAACAAAAGAAAAAGGAAGATGGCGGGACTACCTTTAAAAAGCGAGCTGAAAGGTGTGTAGAACTATAAATGAATTCCTGGTTTGAAGTTTCTTTTTTTAGTGTATTATTTCTATCTATCTTGGGTTATGTGCTTTGAGCGGCAATGTTGATACTGATAGTTTCTGATTTGTATGAGAAGCTTAATAAACTAGTAAAAGGGGTGAGGAGTGCGAGTTTAATAAAAATCATTAATAGAGGCTCAAAAGACTTTTTGATGTTTCCTTTTCTTTTACTATTTATTATTATCGTGATTTTTTCTGTCCCTCATATCTACTATTACTACGCGTATAAAACGATGCATCCAGCGATGCGGAAATTATGAGACAAAAACAACAGGTTAGTTTTATCTTTCACCTTTTGATAATAATAATCATCATAATATTGATTGGCTTTGCATGTCTTCACAATAATAGAAAGCGATAGAAAAGAAACCTGACGAAGGGACTGCGGCAAAACAATAATTATTGAATTGATATTTACCAAGCGGGGATACTATCCCTATATTGGTGTAAATTATTCATTTAGCTGTTGCCTGTTTAGAAATCACCATATCATCACTTTCAAGAGAATTGTGATCCCCTTTAACTTAATTTATAATAATAATTGTTTATTATTGGTCTAGGAAATAGTTCATGAGTGTTTTAATTAATGTGAATATTTATGTTATTTCAATGGTTGGACTTTTTCAAGTTGTTTATTAGAATTCAGGATAAGCAAACTAGTTATTTTTGACTGACTGCATTTTTATCCATTTTCTTCAATAAAAACAAACCATTGAGATCTTGTGCAAGTTGAACGCTCGGAGAGTAATCAATACCATCATCATCATCATCATCATCAAATATTCAAAGCACCAGCGCCCGAAATAACCAACTGGGACAACTGCTGGCTCATTTCCTCGATTCTCTCCTTGGTCTCAGATACGAGTTTGGTTCTAATTATGGATAAATAATTTTAATTTGGTGAATTAGTTCTCTGATAGAATTACAATTTATGTTAGGCAAAAAAATGATCTGAATCACGTACTCTTCAGAAACGGCTTTTTGGAGTTGCATGCGTGCGCTTCTTGTAAATGTTTCGTTTTTTTGATGCGGGAATGAGAGTAATTTGTAATCGTTTAATAGACTATTGTTTTGAGCTACAAGCTTTTTTTAAAAATAAGTTATTGAACCAATAACACTCCAAAGCATCGAAAAACGAAACTTAAAAAAAAAAACAAAACTCACTTTTTGAACTTTCAACTTCACGTCCTCGTTCTCTTTACTTATCTCGCCAAGTTCCCGAACATCCTTTTTCCCCAGATCATCGTAAATCGACAACTGGTCATACCACAGTTCTTGGAATAACGCGCTGACTCGTTTAGTGATTTCCTCTTGTCGATCTTTTATTTTATCGAGGCGCTCCATTGTTATGTGTTTGAATTTATGATCTATTTCTTGACATTCGTTTTCATATTTGAGCAAGTCATTGTGTTGTCGTTGAACATCTTGCATGTGGGACATACATCTTGGTGGCGATTATAATCATTTGTCAATAATTAACAAAGTATAGAATAAGATTCAAAAGATGGCAACTTAATAAATCACCTTTCTTGAAAATATTTAACACCTTCCAATATCTCGAATATCTCTTTCTTATAATCTTTAATAATCTTTTGATAGAGCGACGCTGTCGCTCCACTATTTTGATAGTTGTATGGACTTGATCTGCCACCAGAAGGAAGAATAAACGGTTGTCGAGGTAATCCTTGATATGAAATATATTTGTTGATAAAGTCAGGTATCGTTGTTTTCGCGTACGCTGGTAATTTGGATGGGGTGGGGCGGATGGTGGATGTGTTTTCATCCTCCAAATTTTTTTGCTTTATTGATTTGCGAGTTGTTAGCTCGTGACTCCACATTTGGCCACCGGCTGTAACTATGAACATAAAGAATCCCAGCAGCAAGTGATTCATTACGCAGAAACCAATTATAGGATCAGGCGTGGTACTGTTTATGAAGTGAAATAAACTGAGGTAAATTTATTATTAGATGATACAATCAAACAAAAAATCAACTAAACTTACGTTGGATTAGTAGTTGCAAGCCACCGAACTTCTGATCTCGTATCTTCATCGTCTAGATCATCATCGTGTAAACCATCACCCAACAGCCTATTTATCTTTTCCAGCCATTTTCTAATTATTATCGCGTGGGCACCTGCCGCATGATAGACGTAAAATGTGTCTCGATAATTTAGATCTGGTAAAAGACTTGGCGGGTCCAGCAACATAGTTTTGTCCTTGACAGATGAGACTGTTCTCTGACGAAAGGGTTTGCTCAGACCAAGATCAATGCATTCATAAACAATTAATCTTGGATATTGGTTTTCCTGTGAACACTGCACATTAACCCATAAATAGATTCATCAATTGAAAAAGTTTGGAGAGGAGAGATAAGTTTAAGAAACCGATTGCTCACTAAATAATCCGGATTTTTCCAGCATCCCTGAACTTTATCATCTTCAAGACAAATATCTACTTTGCCATGCTCAAATACTAGCACAAACACATTCATATACTTTGTATTCAAACATAGTATATCACTAGCATCCGGACAGTCCATTAACGACAATTCGATCGGGGAAGGTTGTAGTAAATAAGGTCCCTGACGTTGTGGTTGCCCATGTATATTTGATGTCAGATCAATATCCACTTTTTTATCGGGCTCACAACCTTCAGGAATTTGGCTTGTAATTTTAGAAATCCATTCTAATTGGCGTTGATGTACCCATGAAATATCTCCGTACTTTTCTTTTCCTTTGATTCCGGGAATAACTTTTTGGCAATTAGAAGAGATCAATGAGGCTAGTTTTTGGAGATGGGATACTTGGCAAGTCCTAAATTTTGACAAAGTTTCAGTTATAAAAATACTGTTGTCCTTTTTATACTAGATAATCAATTGTCCGATTTCGAGAAATAGTACAGAAGATCTTACATCTTGTCAGGCGTGACCGGACAAAATGAATATATATCAGAATTTTTCATCAGGATGTAGACGGTAAAAGGACCCCATATATTGGAGGCACTTTGTCCAAAACAGAAAGAAGCTGCCTCGGGTTCATCGTCTAGGTTACACCCATACCCATTGCGCGTTTTTGATGATTCGACCACTTGGAATACTTGTATAGGTTCATTGTAGTTTGTGAAGATATCGTACATTCTAATAATATTATTAATATAGTCATTTAAGAATTATTTTATACAATCAATATGATCTTAATTGTCTACCTTAAATTTCCGTCTGTAGTCAATACCATTAAATGAGATCCATTCCTGCTTAGTGAATGCCATAATACTTTGCAGATCGGGCTTCCTCCGATGACATGATGAAAAGGACCAACTAAATGTGTACTAAAGATATTATTGAAATTAATTTAATTAAATAAATGATTAAATAAATAAATGAAATCCTTACGTGCAAGACATCTCAGAATAATTAGGAATATCTTCTTTCAATTTAATCACGGCCAATTCCGAGACACCTACTACAGCTATAAAGTTGCTTTTCTCGGCGTAGTTCATGACAAGGGCGTAAATTTGGAAATTGATGGCCGGAGTTTTTAGTGTCTGCAGAGAAAATAAGATTATATGAAATTCAAAAAGTAGAAGAAACCCGGAATAAAAGTTGTTGATAATGGTACCAAATACTTTGCATTCTGCATCCACGCTTCCGTCTGTTCAAGCTCACCATTTTCACATGCTTTAAACCACGCGTAATAAAAATCAGATATATTTAAAACACGGATTTGATTGCCTACTGCAACGAAAAGTAGTTTCGCGGCTGTGACGATACATGAACGTTTTCCTCGTAGTCGCTCTATGACTTTAAGCGATGATTCTATGCATCAATCAAACAACAATCATTATTATGAAATCATCCAGCATGAATTTTATTTTGTAGTACGATTTCGGTAAAAGCTTGCGACTCCGATTTGCACGCAAGTCACTCACTTTTTTTTGTATCATTTTCAATATGTATGTCTTGTTTGAAAATAGGATGTAAAGGAAGGTAATGATGCCATTTTTTTTTTGAACTTGTGCTGCTGCTGTTGTTAGTTGTGTAACTTTCCATTTGGTTTTTGTTGTTTTCTGTAATCGAGAATCAGGGAATTATTGTGAGCAAAGAAATAATCACTTATACGATGATTTAAGCATAAATTTATGTGTTTGAAAAGATTTCTTAATAAAAAACCAAAACAACATTGGAATGTGATAAAGTTTTGTATGATTATTTTTCTAAATAAGCACAGACTGCCTATGCATACACCCAACCCATAAATTGGTTAGTAGTATAATACGAATCAAAATAACAAATACAATAAACATAAAATTCCTCTATAAACAATAATTGAAATATAATTAATCTACTTCAAAGCTACTTACCAACCTTTGAGAAAATATGAATGAACGCGCGTAAAGAATTTATCACACTATGTTTATTCTTATCAAAAAATCTTTTGTGTACACGTAAAATCTAATCAGATCTGTCTGCATTATGCATAACATTCATTAATTCATGATCGACATAAATTTTCGCGACGCGTAATAATTAAAACATAATAATAAATACTAACTTTGAATTTTTTAGCTTCAATAACCATGTACTCCCCAACCCAAAAACGAGCAAAAAAACAACTATCACCACAAAAAATAAAGGTTGTTTGTCGAGTAAGACCGTTCCTGGCAGAAGAGTTATATGATGATACTGTAGTTGTGGAGGAAAACAGCATAAAGATTACCAATAAACGAAAGACAAATGAAAACTTTGTCTATAGGTGGACCTCTTTTTAGACTAATAAACTTTGGTATTCACTCTTTGAGTTACTTCATTGACACTGGTGTGGGTGATTTTTCCAGCTTTTACTCGTGTTATGACATGAACGCAAGTCAACTTGAGATATTCGAGCATGACGTGAGGCCTTTACTTGAGCCGGTACTTAACGGCAAGGTATTTTTTTAACGTTTATTTATTCGGAATATCGAAAAATATTCATCTTTATATTGTTGAGGTAAAATCAATTAATAAAACATTTGCCAACTTTTCTGTCTAATAGAACGCCACTATCTTCGCGTATGGGGTGACTGGTTCGGGTAAAACGTACACGATGCAGGGAGCAGAAACAGATCCAGGAATAATACCAAGAACCATCCAAACTCTATTCCAAATAAAAAGTGAATTTAAATACTCGTTAGAATTGCGTCTTTCGTACATCGAACTTTATAAAGAAGTGATCAATGACTTATTGGTGTCTAGGGAAACGGTAGATCTTCATTTCATTCTTTAATTATAAGAATAGTAATAATGTGCTATTTTTCTATTATAGGCGCCGATTGGAGGCCTAAATATACGGCAAGGATCTGATAATCAAATATATCTGTCGAATCTCACCGAGGTTTTTTCCTTTTTTTTTTTTACTTGAAATTTGTAGTTTAGGTTTACGAACATTAACGAGTATATTTTCGCAGAAAAAAATCGACACGTATGGCGAGTTCAAAAAGATCTTTAGGTATATGAATATAAAACATATTTATTAGTTTATCTGTTTTTATGTACCATTTTTAAACCAATCTTTAGATGTGCCTGTCGAAACCGTTCCACTGCTGCTACAAAATTAAACATCATGTCGAGTCGTTCTCATGCTGATATGTGTATATATGTATGTGTGTTTTGATTGTCAAAATGTAAAATTATAAAATATAATTCGTGTATATTTATTGGTGAAATTCATATTTATTATAATCATTTCGATTAGATTTCCTGTACAAATAATGAAACTAGAAATACCACGTTCAGTAAATTACATTTAATCGATTTGGCCGGATCCGAGGATAATAGAAGAACCGAAAATGGTAAAGAACGTATCGCGGAAAGTAGCGCGATAAATAAGAGCCTGCTTGCGCTGAATCAAGTTGTTGAGGCGTTGAATCAGGGGTTGGTGAGTATTGTATTATATTTATCCGTTCTATTTTATATTTTCACGCGCATACATACATCGTTTTATCATAATAAACTAACTATTAATTGATTTTATTTTTTATCTGGTAAACTAAGTCGAGAATTCCGTATCGTGATTCAAAATTAACACGATTGCTGCAGGTAAAATGTGCAGTGCTCGTTTTATATTATGAAATTGTGCTCTGATTTTATGTCGATTTCTATTAAATATTACTTTGATCTTTATATCGATTTTAGGATTCTCTAGGCGGTGAAAACATTAGCATGATGATAATTAATATCTCACCGGGACAGGTACAGCTTAGCAGTTTTCTTTTTTTTGTTTTTGAAAGTTGTTTTGAATAATGCTAATTGTCGGAAACTTTTAGTCATTCTATGCTGATACGTACAAGCAAGTATTAACAAGACACATGTATAATCGTTAGTTTATATGTTATTAATTTCAGAATCTTTAATTCTTTAATGTAGCACACTAAAATTCGCGTCGCGTACCAAAGAAATCGAAAATAAACCACATTTAAATCATTATACCTCAAGTAAAGATCTTGATTTTGCTGCAAAAAAAATACGCAAGCGTTTCAAATAATAAGATTTTTACCATTGATTGGTTAATCTAACCATCAGGTACGCGACAACCTTTAAAAGTCAAATTCGAGATCCCGTCTCGTCTGGCAAATGTAAACGAGTATGATGATCATTTGCCGGAAGCTAAGCGTCAACGTTTCAGTGACCCTACTGACAAGAAAAAAACGAATTCTGTTTTCGAGCGGATGGATAGATATAGTTATGGTGTGATACCCACGGCAACAACAACAACATTTTATCCTTTGAGTAATTATAATAATTATTCAACACCATCAACACCACCACAGATGATACCTGAAATGCCAGATTTATCATTATCATCATCTACAACATCATATGAATTGCCACCTCCGCCGTTATCAGAAACAGAGATGGCAAAAATAATACAAGAAAAAATAGAAACAAAGTTGGACGAGAAATTGAGTGAAATTGAAAATAAACTTAAGTTACAAATATTAAGGTAATTATTTTACCACACATATGTCCATCTGTTGTTTTGTTTACAATAATCGAAATTTCACTTAGTTAATTAAATTCATACTATTTTTTAGCCCAATATTTCGAAAACAGGATGCGAAACTAAAAAAGCGGATCGAATCTCTGGAATATAAAATGTATGTTCAAAACCTTTTCTAATTGTATATATTTATATTTATAAGATAGATTATACATTGAAAGAATATCATTATTTTTAGGGAGTTGCAAAAAGAGTCACGATTGGCAAATGTGCTCACGCCAGAGACAAAAACTAAAACAGCGCGGGCGTTGGTTGCACTCGCTAAGGCGCACGAACAGAAGAATGAGTTGAGAGAGGCGTTGCACAACTACGAAAGTGGTATGTGTATATCTATGTTTACTATTAATATGGACGAAATTATAGATCAATATTAGCTATTCATTCCGATTTTACTATTAGCATTTCAGTATATTCCCGATAATCAGAAACTCGGCAATAAAATTGCTACGATAAAGGATGTGATAAGTACTGGCGACGTATTGAAACTGAAAAAACGAAAAAGGTACGACGAAGTCGAACAACACCAATTACAACAAAAAGTTTCGGACGATGACGAAAAAGCAACTCCATCTGAAGCTGTGCCTGCTTCATCGTCGAGTCAACCTTCAATTAACAACTCAAACGTTTCAGCTAAAGATCATCATTCAAGACACTTGGCTGCTGTAGTAAACGACGAAAAAAAGAAACTAACCGAGACAATGATTTTGAATATTGTTAATTCTGGTGACTTAAGGGAAATTTTAAAACTTAAAGGGGTTGGGAAAAAAAGAGCTGACGTCATCCTGCAGTTTATTAATGATAATGGTCCTATAAGTGAGGTAAAGAGTCTCTTTCATTGAGATGGATAATTGAATTGTCACATTAATGCGAATTCTTTAATAGATATGTAGTATACGATATGCGGGTATAAGTGATAAAGTTATTGATGGAATTGTTAATGTGGGTGGTTCATTTTTTGTTGTTAAAAAATTAATCTTTATTGTCGTATAATCAAATAGTAATTATTATAATATTTGTCACAGAAAAATATCGATTTATTCGTATAATTGAATTCGGCCTGGAAATTTTCGATTTCAAAAATATCATGTATATGTTGATTGGACTTTATTTATCGTTATTTCCTCATGTCAGATAATCAACGTTTAACTTCTTTTGGTTGACGGAATAATTTATTTTTGTAAAACCTACCTAGGACTAAATAATTTAACATGAAATCATTCACTATGCATAATACAATATTATCTTGAGATAAATCATCTCAAATTTTATTTGAAAATATTTGAAAATAACTACAATAATTTCCTATTTCTTTGCTCAATATATCCCCTTCTCTCGTTATATTTAATTTTAGTATAACGATAAAGAATAGAAAAAAATAGTATTTCTGCTTAAGAGTACGCCCATAGCCTTGTCCGAATAATCGAAATTATGAATATCTCAAGTTGCACAAAGTAAAAAAGGGTGATCAATCATCACCCCATGAATATATTTGGCTATTTCGCGAATTGCATTTCCCTCTGTAACTTGGTAACCTTCGAAATTTAAGAATGGCAGAGTGGCTAAACGAAAACTTTGGATCTTCCGAAGACGATTCAGACGGAGAATTTGTGCCGAATAATCTTGACGGTGAAGAAGACGACGACAATAGCGACACTTCGTCTTCGTCTTCGTCCGATGGTAAATAAAGCATCTTCAATATAGATATAATGACAAACATGACAAACTCGACCTGTGTCTTCTTTGCAGCCTGTCACATATATTACGGCACAATAATTAAAGCAATTGTTTTACAAATTAAAAAATAGACCCCTCAGATTCTTCGTATACTACAGCACCGCATGGTAAACGTAAACGTGGCAATGGAAAAAAGGCTACGCCCACAACTAATGGACGAGGAGGAAGAAAAGGTACCTTGTACGAAAATATTATGATTTTTATTTAATCTTAAAGAAATTGAAATATTATTTTAACGTTTGCTTTTTCAATTAGGTAAAATGCCAGCAAAAGTGCGAAAAACAGTGTCGTCGCATAATGTGGGACATTCGTCACAAATGGTAATAGGAAATGGCGAAACATCTTGTGAGGCAACACCTAAAGTTGGTATTAATTTCTAAAATTTCGTTGGCTAGTGTCTATGCAGAAAGTTTTAAATAGGGTTGATTTCTAAATTTCTTATTCCATAGCGTAATGGGAATTCTGTAGCAGGAATTTTTGAACCAGGTTTGTATTTCGAAAGATTTTTTTGGTCATTTACGGGTTTTGAATAAATAAGTATATAGAAACTGATTTAGTCGCGTCCTTCCCTCTTCAAATACAATACTACAATACCAGACAGCTTATCTCTAAAGAAATTATTTGTACCATTCCCGATTTTCTCGGACACATTCAAGGAATTTCATGAAGGTAAGTAGTTCCATTCAACATTACTAATAATTATTTTTACTTGTATATAATAAAGTGGATTGCAATCAAAAAAATACAAACAAAAAAAATATACAGCACAAGAATCAGAATACAAACGACTTCTCGGATACGAACGCGAATTCAGAGACGAAAAAGACCAATTACAACGCGAAATCAACGACTTGAAAAGTCGAGCAGATCAAAAAAAGAACCTACTAAAGACAATATCAAACGACAACGAATTACTGAAGCAGAAAATCGACACGTTACACGAAACATTGAAACCTGTTTTCAATCAGTTGATTGGGATTGACAAGTTGGATGGTTATACTGTCGGCCCGTTTTTGTTGGAGTTTGGGCGGCAGATTCGAGAGGGTACTGATTGATTGAATAATAAGGAAATTTGTTAATAGAAGGAATTATTTGGACTTTTTAATATCATCACCATGATATGAAAATACGAGAATGTGCCGTTGGGATTCTGTTGTTGTGATAAGTGGAGATCACAGTGCAGTTTCTTATTACTAAAAAAAATGGCTCAAGGTTAAGTTTTTACGGGGAGGGTACTTTCTATACGGGCATAGTGATAATGATTATAATGTGTGAACAGAAGTAAAGATCTTTAGTTATTTTAAATACAAAAAATTCGTATAATATCGCGATTTAAATATTTATTATTAAATCATGATTGATCCATTGCCATTAAATTTTCCTCGATTTCTACGAGCATCATCCTTTGGTCCTCTTCAACTGAGCGCAGGAAATCTTCTTCGTCTTCTGACATATTATTATAATTGTTATTGTGGATTTTATTATTAATGTTACTATTGTCGTTGTTATTAATGTTAACGTTTTTGTTCTTCCTATCATTTTTTTTGTTGCTTTTGCTGTTGCTTTTGGAGGGGGAGGTGGTGGATTTGCTCTTTTTCTTAATTTTATCGTTATTTTTGTTTTTACTATTGCGTTTAACTTTATGAATTCCAATCGCTCTCGTAGGACTAGAAGTGGTGCTGTTACTATTATAATTAGTAATGCTATTTTCGGCATCACTTTGATTGTGTTGTTCATTTAATTGTGAAAGAGGAGAATGTCTGCCATCATTTTCTTCCTTCTCACCATCGTCGTCGTCGTCATAATTCTTTTCAGATTTATCATTGTCATCGTTATCTTCTTTATCACTAAAATTGACCTTCATCCATTCTTCTTGTATGATGGTAAGTCTATCCTGTAAAACAATCACTCAAAAGATTAGAATAAGATGAAAATAATTTTGCCCGCGAATCTCTATTACATACGTGCATGTGTCTCTTATGGCAAACATCTTCAACACGTATTATCGCGTCACGATAAGTCACGTCTGGATAGTGGTTGCTGAATGCGGGTTTATAGAACTTTTCTACAAGATTCTGTAGATTTTCAGTCTATTTCAAATTTTTTTATAAATAAAATTAATAAATAATGGAAGATATTATTAAAAAAGGCAAGTAGAGGCTAAATCAACTTTACATCGTCATCTCCAAAATTCAATAAGACTCCATTCTCAAGTAAAAATTTATGCAAATTCAAAGTTCTAAAAAAATTAATAGAAAATAATCTCAAAATGACGCGTGAAAAAATCCAATCCTAACCTTTCAGTATCATCTATTTTCGGTGCAGTCCTTCGTTTATTCGCGACGATAACTTTACTTTTTGTTGCTGCACCAGGATTCCTATCGCCAATCGTTGTGATTCTTGAAGAAGCCGATATGATAGAAGATATCTTTGTTGGAGATGCTAAATCATATGTTTTACGAGGCGGAAGTGGAGCAATGTCATTATTTAGGCCATTAATATCATTATAATTTTTTTTTGCATGCGTCCTGTCACTCTTGTCTATCTTTTTGTTGTTGATGTTTTTGTCATTAGTAGCATTTGAAAGGTTATTTTTAGTATTAATGTTATCGCCAGTATTGACATTTGACAAGTCTTCGTCTTCATCGTCATCCTCGTCTCGAATACGACGATGGAGCACCATTTTTATATTCGTATACTTTTAAGAAAAATATGTTTTAGCAGCAGCGAATGTAGTTTTATCTTTTATTTCCTTTCAATTGTATGAGTAAAAAAAGAATTGGAAAGGGATATTCTTTGAACAGTTTTATTTTGGCGAAATAACGATAACGCGCGTAAAAAATTAAGTCGATTCGACATTGATCGAATCTTTTGAATTCGAGTCGAGTCAAGTTCTAATGGCAGATTCTTGATCAGATGATGTAAAATGTTTCAACCAATCAGTTATCGATTCCAATTTATTGTGGCATCTTATATATAGTAGTTTCGTGTATTATGAAAACATACGCTAATGTATTACCGTTACCCAAAATTGTGAATTATCGTTATTCATTTTCATTTGGCAGAAAAACAATCGGTCAATCGGACTAAATTAAAATTTAATTAATTGAATTGTAGATTTTAGAAAGTTGATCCAACTCTACTATTATACTTTTGAACAATCGAGTACCTATTTCTTACTATGCCTGAACCTACTGAACCGAAGGTACATTGACTTAATAATTTTCAATTAAATATATAGTTTGTTTTTTTAAAATTCTTTATAAAAAAAAAGAAATCGACACCGACGCTTGCAGAATATGAAGCCGCCAAAGCGCTTCTTGCAAGTTACGAAGCAAAAGGAAACGAATTGTCCGAACAACTGGTAAGTAAGTATTACTTGCTCTTCAGCTCTTTACTTAATCATCGTTTACTGAAAGAGTCGTCTATCATCCGAATAATCTTTGTTAATGATCCGAAAGAAAGAAGATGAGGCAGAAGTTTATTACGCTGAAACAATTTACCTCGAAGAAACTAATCATATGGGGAATTTAGTAAAAGGGTTTGACAGCTTTTTGCGCAGTTCTTCTGATCGAAAACGTAAGTCTGAAGTTCCTGATTCTGATCGATTGTTTTCTAGATCAAGGTGAGTGATCATGTGATAATAAAGTTTGGTAGTGATGGTGCGTATCCTGTTGAAAATTGACAATTTCTTGCTTTTTAATACTTTGTATAAAGTATATACATGCAAAAGGTAGAATACTTTGTCTTTTTTGATCGTATTGTTATTATTGTCCCTAAATTCTTGAATAATTGTTGATTAGAAATTACGATACGCTTCATTATTCTTAAAACCGGCCAAAAGTGAAAAATCAGATGATCCAATGTCATCCAGTTCTGACGAAGACGATTCATCAACAGTCACAGATTCCTATAATAGTAGCTCCCCACAACGTAAAAAAAAGGAACAGAGAAAGAAATACATTCACGAGTCGGATGACGAAGAGTTGGATGTAAATGGGAATTAGAATCTTGCTACCTCAGAGGTATTATGGATGATTCTGTTGTTGATTTATCATTCTCAGTTAAGCTGATATAGAATTTAAAGTGTCAACAAAATCGTCATTACTCTGGGAATCGGAACCTTGCGTTCGCTTGAACGTTAAAATATGTGAGAAGGTAACCTCCTTGAAAAACAATAAGGCCGGGAATTTCTTATTGTTGTTTATATTTATTAATTAATAATTTTGTACTAATAATAAAAAAAGAATATCTTTATTATATATTTATTATATATAATTCATGTTAGATGATCTTTAATGGACGAACTAAATTAATAAGAACATAATAGACTCATTTGGCTAAATACATAATAAATATATCAATACAATATTGACATTGATGCACCATATTCTAATAATTCGTGCATAGAAAGTTCCAGAGTATTAATAAAAAAGCCGGAAAAAACATTACTAGTTAATAGAATTTTTACCTTCTCTTTATCAGTCTCTGTACCTCCTTTTTCTTCAAAGGAATTTGGGAGTATTGTTTATTAGATTATTTCTTGGATTTTTGGCTCTTTTTCGTCAACATCCGGCTCAAGTTCTTTGATCTTTGGCTCGTTCGCTAAATTTTCTGATGGTAATGATGTCTGTGACTGTAATTCAGCTTCCTCCTTTTCTTCCTGTTTCTTCAAGCGGTCAAACATTCCTCTCAAGTCTTTTCGTTGTTTTGCATCCATTTCTTTGTTCTTTAGCTTAAGTCGTTGCCATTCACGCTTAATCATAGGATCTTTTTTTTGGATCAGGAAAAGACAAAAAATATATATGAATTCTAATTTATGCTCAAGATTGTCGAATCAAATACATACCATCAGGATTTGACAGTTTCTTTAGATCTGCCTCTGCACCATCAGTATTGCCATCGGTAATATAAGCTTGAGCACGTCGAAACCGGGCTTTTTCATTATCAGGATCAAGTTTCAAAGCCTAATTTCACGAAGAAAAAGATATCATGTAGACCCTTAAGAAGTTTTATGAATGCTGCCTCAAGATTATAATCTACCTTATTTGCGCATTCAATAGCACGTGAAGAATTATTACGTTTGATATGGCAGGCTAAGGTAAAAAAGGCAAAATTGATAGTTCATCTCAGATAAAAAATTATTACTAGATGAGATCTTGTAGATGACGATAAACCTTACCAGCCATATTGCTATGTATAAATGCCTGAGTCTTTATAATCTCTTCTTGCAATTCGTCTTTTTCAGTTTCCTTGGGTTGTTCGTTACGAAAAATTGCATGTGATTTGTTGTTTTGTATACCATTGATATGAAATAATGCCTAAACAAATATAACCAAACTTAGTGTTTCTGATACTTCATATGAATTTCCTTAATAATTTAATTACTTGATGATAGTGCCGTAAAGCTAACAAAGATAGAGAATTTAGTTAATTGAAATGTCGAGAACAATTTTGAACCAGTATTATTAATTCACACCTTCAACCATACTGCCGGCCTTAAAGTACTCGTTTCCTTTGTCCTTTTCTGTTTTTGCAGCCTCAAGCTTTGTTGCGTTCTTGGATTTTTCACTGGCAAGGTCGGAGGAGAGAATGTTGCTAACTGTTTCGATTTCCTTTGCTGCTGCTGCTGTTGTCTTCTCTTCTATTACTTCTTGATTCGTTTCAATCTCTTTTTTTGAGCTCGCTATTTCTTCCACGGTTTCGGTAGACTCGATTACATTCTGACTTTCCATTTTGGCAAAGATAAAAAGAGTGGGAATATGGAAATAGTTTTGTTGTAGAATATTTATATAGATATCAAAAAAGCGCCTTCCGGCAAAATTTCCGCCCCTGTATTTCGGAAGAATATCGCAAGTTGGAGTAGCATCGTTATGGAGAATGAAATGACATCTATTTGATTATAAAAATCATTTAAAAAATAGCCATTATATTTATTTTTTATTGACACGAAAATATAACTATTTACTACGGATTGAATCGATCAACTATAACTAAAAATAGTTAACGTTAACTACAATCATAGCTTTCCCAGAGGAAAATCCTCCGGGCGCCATTTAAGTCCGCGTTGCACCTAAACTATTTCCACCCAAATTCCTCTTAATATACCCACAATGACTGCACGTTTTACAGATGTTACAACAATCTTGTTAAAGTCCTCCATCTTAAATACCAATCGTTTCCTAAACCTCGCATGCGTCCTATTGCTAAGTCGTCTTCTTTGTCGGCGTCGTAGCATCCGGTGCTATCAAAATGTTGATAATACTATCACATCAAAAGTACGAGCTAGCCACAATGCAGCTTTTTTGTGTACTTCATCCACCAGATTTTGGATGTATCTCCTTAAGCGAGAAGCTTGGGAAAAGTTTCTCCATGATAAAGAATTCTTTAGTGCATTGGCGGAAAAGACCAAGGCGTCTTTTCCCAACATATCAATACAATAATAAGAAAATAATGCGCTGCCTTTCTCTAGACATGTTTATCTCATGCACCACTAGAGTGAGATGCACAATACGGTTAATGTCATTGTCGCCAATATTGTGAGTGAATACCATGTGAAAAAAGTTCAGACACCAGGATCAATGATTACAATGTACTTGATTCTTGCAGATAAATTTTCCACACACCCATAAAAATGTCCAGTGACCTAGTTTTCTCTCATATATCAGCTTGTAACTCTCACAGTTTCATTTGGCCAACAAAGTGATGAAGTGGTGGCTTTGTCGACTAGTTATGTCCAGATTCCGGGAGCGCTAAAGCAAGATAGTGGATTAGAATGCAATCCGGATCCAATTTGATTCAAATAAATGTAAATTTGCAGATTATACAAAATGATTTTACAAAATGACTGGAGAGAAACACTAAAATCGGATAGTGCAATTCGAATCGAATCAATTCAGATACGATCTAGATTGATTTGATCCAGATTGACAAGTAATATTACATATTGTTATAATATGAACTTTTATTATATTAATTATTTTATATTTTATTGAATATTTCATATTATAATACTATTGAATCATATCTTATTGGACATTAGCTAGAAAAGATCTTATTTGCTAATATTAGATAATAAATATGATGTATAATATTTATATTGTCACTAATTCAATATCATCAATAAATTAATATAGGAACATGTGAATAGAGAATGCAGTTATGATAAAAATTAGTCATAATAATATTTGGATTATATAGTTAGTTTGACAATATTCTAATTCTTTTTATTTTCTTCTTTTTCTTTTTCGTATTACTTATCTTTCTATATTTATTTCATTATTATCTTTATTTGAATATATTAATCACATCATTTTCTTGACAAATTTCATTATTTTCTATATTAGTTTAGCTTCTATTTTCTATTTTTGCTATTGATACTTAGATATAGAACAAGATTATTAATTATAATGTAGTTAAAATTTATGTAATTTAGAAGAGAATCAATAATTTCATAATATTAGTATAGATTTATTGTGCCACATGCTGTGCTGCAACTGCATCATGCTATGTCATACTGCATATTACTGTGTCATACTGTGTCATTATAATACAAAAATATGTATAAATACAAGTACTGATAATTAATAAAAATCAAGTTCTTTTGAATTTAGTTTAAATTCTTTAGTTCTAGTTTTAAGTTTTTAAGTTTTGGTTTTGAGTTTCTTTTGAATTAATGTCGAGTTTGACATGTTAAATTGAATGAAATTTTAAGTAGTTTTTGGTTAAGTTTATCTTTAGTTTAGTTTTATTATTATTTTAGTCTTACATTCGTCACCTTTTATTTTGTCAAGAAACATCATTTTATCGTCATAAACACCTTTCAGTTAAAAAGTCTAAAGTAAATTGTCATTGACACAATTTATTATTTTAGGTTCTTCTTGGTATTATTATTAATCATGACTTCAACCAATTATCTGTTTGTGTTTAATTATTAATTTCGTTTGTTTACTATTAAAATCCAGTTGTACAATAAATGTGTCTTTTTCTATCATTAAGATAGGATATCACTATTACTAATAAATATCTTTCTTTGTATTTACTTAGTATATGAACAGTTCTATAGCAATACAGTACTAATATTCTATAGCAATCTGGTTGAATGTTCAGCAGTGCACAATAAATATAATTATGTAATTACATGTAATTAATTAAATTATTTATAAGATAAGAGTTAATAAAGACAGTCAAGTAATAGATATTTAAAGATATTTTATTTAAGTCATTAGTTGGGCTAATTGTTACAACTTGCTTTTTTATAACTATAAGACCAGCTATATTTATATCTAATATTTTTTATTAACTAATATTACATTTTTAACTTATTTATTAAAAACTATAAAATTAACAAATATTGAATAATTCAAATAATTCA